ATGAACCAAGTCTTATGATACAGAGGTTGGCAGAAGACTGCACAAGGTATGTTAGCGTATGTTAGAACAGTCTGGCGTTTCGCATGTAAGGAACATACGCTACAAAAAAGAAATCAATCTACCAAAAAGAATTCTAAAATTGCAGATTATCAAACAAAAAGTGAAATACCAGAGAAAAATAAACAAAAACTCCCAAAGCCATGTTTTGCTTGCAGTGACCTTCACTGGTACAGATATTGCAATTTTAGGAATAAAAAATGTTTCAACTGTAAAAGAGCGGGTCATAAAAGCTCGCACTGCAGGTCAAAAAATAAAGACAATAAAATAAGAAAATTAAAATCCGACGAGGTGAACGATGGAATAACCAGAAAATTTGTTACCGTCGAAATAAGTAATAAAAAAATAAAAATGCAATTCAACACTGGTTCCGACCTATCTATCATAAATTTGCATACGTGGAAGAAGTTGGGAAAACCAACTTTAATGAAGGCAAATAAAATTGCGAGGTCAGTGGCGGGAGAAAAAATACAATTTATTGGAGAATTTGTTACAAACGTCACGTTAAATAAAAAAACACAAAAAGCTAAACTATTTGTCATAGAAAATACCACGAACTTACTTGGTATGAATTGGATAACAGAATTTCAATTATGGGATCTAGTGATAAATTCTTTCTGTTACAAGGTAGATTTTTTAAACTATGAAGCCCAAAAATTAGTAAAGAAACTAATGGGAACTTTTCCTACTGTTTTTTCTCCAGGCTTGGGAACATGTACCAAGATGGAGGCAAAATTCCAGCCAAAAGAAAATGCTCAGGCGGTATTCCAAAAGAAAAGAAATGTGCTGTTTGCTTCAATTGAACAGATAAAGAATTGGACAGATTAGAGAAAACCGGTGTATTTAAAAAAGTTGAATGGGTAACACCAACGATATACGTGAAAAAAAAGCTCCAGAAAGTAAAGATGAAGCTGACACCGAGAAAAACTGGGGAGCAAGTTACCCACTGCCAAGGATATGCAGTATTATTAAATGATTTAACTCAACTGAAGTCACCACAGAAAACGTTAAGAAGCACAAGATCAACAAAAGGGAAGCTAGAGGCTGAACAAATAGAACCACAAGAAGAACCTACAGAAACTGTGACTCCATCCTTAAGAAACTCAAAGTGGAAGGTTGTTTCTGGTAACACTATGGAGGTATAAAAAAAAAAAAAATAGAAAAGTGGATTGGCTATATGATGTACTTGGTGAAAGGCGAAAAACTCACGTGCAGTAACCAGATCAGACAACGTTTTTCAGACATGGGTGACAGCGGTCCCATGGAAGAAATGCTGATGGAGGTGATTTTCAATACATTTGATCTAACAACGCCTGCAACAATTTTACCTAAGGTACGCCAATCCAGGAGAAAAAAGAAAGGCAACTGATCATTTAAAAGTGGATCAAAAAACGTAGGAGATACGCTACGATGTAGCTAAAAAAAAAAAAATTTTTTTTTTTTTTTTGTTGTTGTTTTTTCTTTATATTTCCTGTAAAAAATGAAAAATAAATAAAGAAAACTGTCTACTCCTACGGAGTAAAGTTTTAGTGGGGGATGTTATAGTGGAACACACCTATTCTATAGTTAATAGACTCTCCCACCTATAATAAGTATCAGCGACCATGATTAGATTTCTCTGCGTCATTATCTATTATATCAAGTTCCTAACGTTTTGTACATTGAACCTATTTTAGGACCGACTTAGTACAACTACAAGCCTCCACTGTGAAACTACTCTATAACAATTTACTTGTGTTTATGTGTGTGTTTATAGTTTGTTAATTTTTTATTATTTATTTATCTATTGATTTGGATTAATTTATTTGATTTGTTTATTATTTATTTTCTACATTTGTTTTTATGTTTTTGTTGTATGGTGGGTTGGACTATATAAGAAAAATTACAAAACAACCCTAAAAATAGCAAATTTTTGTTAAGACTCACATACACACAACACAGCATAAAAAAAGTGAACAGAAAAAGAAACATCATATGGTTCAACCCACTGTACAACAAAAACATAAAAACAAATGTAGGAAAAATATTCAGTAAACTCATACACAAACACTCCCCAACCCATCAAGTACTCTCCACAAGATATTTAACAAAAACACAGTAAAAATCAGCTACAGTTGCACCAAGAACATGACACAAATAATAAAAAAGTATAACAAGAAAACAAGCAAAAAACCATCTGCACAATTCAAACCCACATGTAATAGCAGAGCAAAGAAATAATGTCACTTAAGCTGCAATTGCTTGCAGAACAATGTCATATACCAAGCCATTGTAAAATCAGCAGAAAACAAAGAAAAATATATATATGGGTAACTGAAGGACCCTGAAAACAAAGAAACTATGCACACAAAACATCCTTTACAAATAGAAAATACACAAACAGTACTTAGTACTCAAAAATATGAAGAACTAAAAGACTCGATAATATCAGTGTATGAGAGGACTAAGAAAGAGCAATTGAAGGAGGTGATGAAGACCACTGCAATAACTGGTAATTCATCAGTATGCAAGAGATGTTGACAATAGTGAATCATATTGGAGTTAATGGGGAACTTGTAAGACACAAGTTCCTACAAGCACTACCCCCACAATTAGCCCTAGTAATAGCATTACAAAAACATAATTAAGAAAGCTATCAGATGAACTAATTTCATTATTAATTAATGGCTCATTTACATTTCAAGTCATGGGTAGGCAGAAACTGACACAAAGTCCCATCATGCATAAACAGAAAGACAGTAAAATTTTGTTAGGTCTCAAACCTTTTGGCAAAAACCAGAAGCCAAAAGTATTCAGAGCCTATATCTGTTTTGGTGACTAGACCCAAACCTGCAAACCATGGTGCAGATGGCTTCAGGATAAGTGTAATTTGCAAACGATATTAAATTTCTGCCTATCTTCCCCCATCCCAAGTGATTTGGAAAAACTAGTAAGGCAGACTGCATTAGCTCCCTCAGACCCAGTACCTTTGAAAGTTACCACTAAGGTAGGAGCTACTAAAATAAACTTAATCATTGTTATAGGTGCAAACATTTCTATCTTACCACTCACCATAGTAATTTACATTATATTAGACCCAGCACCTATATCCATCTCCATGGCTAGTAGAGAGAAAATAAGCTGCCATGGTCAGAAATACCATGCTTAAGAAGGGTGTTCCACTAGATATTCATGGTTACAGATGTGACTAATCTTCTATTAGGTTTTGACTTCTTAAACAATTTTGATGTAACATTTGACTGCAAAAATAGATTTATTAGGGATACTGTAACTGAATGTGAAGTTAAGTTTAAATAAACACTCCATTCAGTCAATGACTTTAAAATCCCTACCATTATCAAGGAATTAGTAAATAAATACACTAGTATTAGTACACCCCTTGATAATAAAAATTGTAATTACTGTGGAGTTTGTCACATAATTGAAATAGGAAGCCGTGCACATGTTTTTTGCTAAAACTAGACATCTGCCAGGACAGAAGTTAAAAGCTGCACAAGCTGAATTAATAAAAATCAGAAAACCAGAGCAATATATCTTTTGAGTAGTGAATGGGCATCCCCTCTCAATATGGTATTGGAACCAAATAATTTTTATTGAGCTTGTGGCGATTTCCAAGCTCTTGACAGTATTACTAAAACTGACTGCTTACCTGTTACTTAATATAAATTCATTTAATTCTAAACTTGCTAACAAACATTGCTTTTTCTAAAACAGGCCTAACTTCTGCCTATAACCAAATAAGTGTGCACTCAAAGGATATGCCTAAAACATCTATAACTACACCATTTGGTTTGTTTGAGTTCACTAATATTCATTTTTGATTGAAAAATGCTGCAGCTACATTTCAACATTTTATAGGCAGAATATTTTTTTAATGTAGATTGTGTGTTTGTATACTTAGATGATATATTGAGTTTTCAATGTAGTTTAATGTATATTCAATGTTCCTAAGCTTGACTTACAATTTAATGTTAGTACTAAAGATTTGCTACCTACCAAAGATAAAATTAAGGAACTGCAATCATTCCCATATCCTAGGAGTTTGTGCAGATCTTTAGGCATGACAGGGTTTTATTGTAAATTATGCATCCATTATTTATTGCTATCAGAATATATGAGATTATTTCCAAAATCTTCATTTGAGTTGACAGAGGCAGCCAAATGCACAAAGCAGTTTTGTGCAGAATGTACAGTATGTCTGCAGTCAAAAGTCCAAAGACATACAAAATCCACCATTCAAAACTTTGAATTACTATTTTCCTGTTTTCAAGCAGTGTACATTGATACTGTCAGGCCCCTTCCTCCAGTCCATAATAATTCAAACCCTTATCTAAGCCTCTACAGATATCTCCTAACTTGTATTGATTGTGCTACATGTTGGATAGAGGTGCAGCCACTAACTGAAATAACAGTACAGTTAATAGCAAAGGCATTTATAGACATATGGATTGCCAGATTTGGAGTTCCACTTTATATCATCACCAACAGAGGGAAACAATTCCAATACAGATAATTTGTTTAGTAATGCTTTTGTTAGCAAATTATATGAAGCTGTCAGAATTTGATTTGCATAATTTTGATAAAGGACATTATCATACCAGTGCTAAAATTTTATTCCTAATACACTAATGTCCTGTGACAAAGTGTTAGAATATATCAGCTTATAAAATCTTTATAAGCACTTTATAGATTGATTGATTGATTCATTCATTTTCTACAGCTTATCAAACTTTTGTAGGTTATTTACAGCCAGAAAATATTTTTAAATAGCAAGAATGTTTTTTTTTGTTGTTGTTGTTTTAGATAATAATGAGCTGGATAAAGAATAGGTGGATTCATACCTTTCCAAAAGGAAATAATTGAATATAATGAAGCCATCTGGAATTGGAACTCGGCTCTCAAATTAACAATTCCAAGCTGTTATCTATTACACCAAATCTAAGCTTACAGCACCTGGTATTCCCAAGCAGTCACCCATCAAAGTACTGACCAGAGTTGATGTTGCTTAACTTCATATCATATGGGATCCTGTGTTTCAACATGATGTAGCCATATGTCACCTTATAGATGGCCCTATAAAGTTCTAACAAGATCACCAAAACATTTTCTTATTGATGCGCAATATGTATCTACTAGTTCCCGTTGACAAATTAAAACCATACACTGAGCTGACTCTAAAAGACCCAACTATTCATAATACTGATAATTAAAATCCAGAGGAGGATAATTCTAACAATAAAAGTGTAAAAGATAAAATACTTGAAGGTAATAGCAATAATTAGACAAAAAAAAATCCAAGTCAGGCAGAAGCCTTGGAAAAAAGATAATGGCAAAGTTTAATAAATAAAACTATTTCTTAAATCCTCTAAAAAGTATCACCTGCTTATAAGCTCTTTAAGACCTTACTAACATCAGCATTCTTAAGGACAGGTCAATCAGCTGACTTTGTTTCTGAAACCAGATATTTGGATAAGCAAAATAAAAGATCAATTACCCTGTACAAAGTGAAGGACAATCCTACCTTACTCATTGCACTCAGGAAAAGAGGACTTTAAGGCCAATTCTCTCGAATCTTTTGCCAGAAAGTAGAACAGGCTGCTCCACTATTTAACCACCAAAGAACCAATCAGGATGACTAGCTGCTACAAAGAAAAGAGGGGTCTCACTCTATGTTCCAACGTACCGCAAGATGGCTACAACTGGTATTTATAAAAAGAAAAAAGAAAATGAACTTTCCAAAAACAACATTTGCTCAACATTCACTCTGTTGTAATGGAATGTCCCACGCTTCCTATCCCCTATGTGGACTGACTATATCAGTAGCTATATATAGTGAGCACAGAATATATCTGGGGGGAGCTGTCTTGTGTCAGGAATTACTAGCCTGCCGCTTGATTCCTTGTCTTTCAGTAATGTATTCTCTTTTTTCAATAAACCTCTCTTCTTTCATCTACATGTGTACCACCTTTTGTCTGTCTGTAACTTCTTTAAGGATACAACCCATTCATTTTGAATGTAAAAATTAACATTCTGTACCAACCTCCACAAAAGAAAAAGAGAAAAAAAGGTTAGAAGGACAAGATGGATTTTTTTTTTTAAATATAAGCAAAAATAACTACCCTGCTGTTAATTTATGCTGTTTAACTGTTAAATTTATAGACTATATCTATCCAAGTGTAATTGTAAATAAAATTAATAACTACTAATTTTATTTTCATTTCTGTATAAAATTGGTAAATTAAAAAAAATATTTAAAAAAGTCACTGTTCACTGACAGAATGAAGTACCATATCGCATGTCTTAAGTTTGATTCTCATGACTACTGGCAACTTTGTAAAAGTGTGCTAAGAGTAAGTCCTCCATCCTTTCTCTCTTCAATCAATTTGAAGTGTTATCATCTACTGCTGATAAAGTAGAATGCTTTGCTAGTAAATTCTCTTCCAGTTCTACTCACAACTCATCCATGGTTTTTGCTATTGCATCCAAACTTGATTCCCACAAAGTATACAAATTCAATGCTATTCTTGAGAAATTAAAGTTCCTGTTTTCTCTACAGTCTACAACAAATGTCTTGCTACTTTTTGCTTTCCAGATTGTTGGAAATCCTCTTCTGTAATTCTTGTTTTAAAAAACTCTGGCAAACTGTCTGATCCTTTGAACTATTGACCTATTAGTTTTCTACATCTCTTTGGCAAAGTACTAAAATCTCTAATCAACACTGAATCAGTTAAGCATCTTACCTAACAGGGTTTTCTATCAGACAAACAATATTACACATTTGTACATCAGCAACCGATGTGTTGACAGTTATTGTTGAAAGAGTCTGTCAAGTCAAGCTTTAGATAGGAATGGCAAAGCTCAGGTTGTTGCTTTAGATATTTGGAAAGGCATTTGACAGTGTTTAGCATGTTGGTCTTCTAGATCTTTTAGCATTAGTGCAAATGTTCCCTAGGGCTCTATCCTTGACTTACATTGCTTATTTTCAATGACAACCTTCCCAATTCCATCAGTTCTCAATTCAGTATCTATGTTGATGACACAATTATTTATTCTTAAATGTAAGTCTATGTTTGAGTCAAACTGGGAGATGAGTTTGAAAACAACTTTCAATCTGTTGTTACCTGGAGCAAAAAATGGCTTCTTAATTTTAATACCTCCAAAATGAAGCTGCTCAATTTTAACCATCTTAGCAAACCTTTATTGCTTTCTATCAGTATGGCTGATGCTAACCTCCATGAGAGCAACTCATTGCACATTCTTGGTCTTGAATTTTCCACTGACATGAAGTGGAATGATTATATTAAATCAACTGTTAAGTTTACTGCTGGGAAAGTTGGTTCACTGTGACATGCTAAACAATTTCTCTTGCCCAAATCTATCTTGCAAGTTTATAAGTTTACCATTCATCCATGCATTGAATATTGGTGCCACATCTCATCTGGCACTTCTGCTATATATCTCGAGGTCCTTGAAAAAATTCAAAGAAGAATCTGCAATGTTATTGATCCTGAGCAGGCATCTCAGCTTCAGTTAATTTCCCATTGTGGTAACATAGCTTCCCTGTGCTTTTTCTATAAATATTTTCATGGTAATTTTTCTGATGAGCTTCCCTCTTTGATTACTTCAAGAATTTAAACACATTACTAGATTAGACACTAAGTCTCATAATTTCATTGTTGAAATTGTTTGATGTAACTTTAAGTGATATTCTAACAGTTTCTTCCCTTCTGGAACTTTCTTTCAGCTTCTTGCTTTCCTGTCAAATATGATCTTCAAGAATTTAAATGCAACATCAATCATCATCATCTATCTCCTTGAATTATGTTCTTTTATTGTCCTTTCTTCTCAATAAAATGTTTTTAGTTTCTTTCATGACTTCAAGTGGCTGCACATTTTGGCTTACACTCTTTTTTTGTTACTCTGATGTTGTTGCCAAGCAGAAAGGAAAATTATCACTAACAATTTCAATTCATTCAGATTGTACATATATGTACATTTGTGTGTCCATGTGTATATATATTTTAATTCAATGTTACCCTAAAAATATTTCTACAAATAATAATAATCCTACTGGCTACAAAATAATTTCTGAAAAGTTCAATAAGATCTTATCATTATCTGATTTTTTTGGGTTTAAAAATATTTTTCTTTGTCCTTTTTTTGTCTCCAAATTTATTGATTTTATTGCTCAGTCTAGGGTAAGGATTATCAAGACACAGAAGGAGGGGAACATATTATTCCAATGTTTTATTTCAAATACAGTGAAATTGGTTATGTGTGCATAAGTACATGTCAGTTCCTCATGCACAACTCAGACATACACAGATACATTACATGCATGAATGCAAAGTTACATAGTATGACAGACAGAGAATTGACACTTTTTTTATAATATAGATTCATTCATTCTTTCTTATTTAAAATTAGTTATAAATTTAATTTATTATTATTTATAATGGGCCAAATAGTTTTGATATTTATTTATTTATTTATAAATACAAAACTTAGAAAATAGCAAACATTACAGAGGTGAGGAAGCATAGGAAGATTGTACTAAATTTTTCTTTGTTTCTCAATTTTTCTTATAAGGATTAAAATAAGAAAAATAACCAAAATTTTAAAATTTTGTTGGGAAAAGGTAAAAACCATTATTATAAAATTTTCATAAATCTAAAATTAGCCAATCTAATTTATTGCCAGAAAAATTAATTTTGGCATTATTTTCTTATGAAATGCTAAACTGATGGCGATTTGATTTCTTTCAGTAAAATTCAACATATTATGTTACGAAAATATCTTTTCCCATGGTTTGACTTGCTTAATGAATTTTACAGACAGAAATTTAATAAAACAACATCAAAAAATAAAATCAACAAACCAAATTCAAATGTTAATGGAAACAACTTATGTTCACTTTATACAGAAATCTTTGAAAAAGGTATAAATCCACAGCTCAGCACTCAGTCCCATCACCAACTATCTTGGCAAAATGTTGGCAATGCCTCACTGATGACATGTCAAAATAGTTGACAGAAAAAAAGAGATTGCATGAATAAGTTATTTGGGCAAGATACCATAACTACTTCACCTGCACAAGCTATTGCAACAAAAAGCTGTTATCCATTTTGTCAACCTTGACAAGAGCTGATAACTAACCCAGTGTAACATTCAAAAATTTAATTCCTTTCCCTTGACTCAACTATAATTTATGCACATGCAAAATCATAAAAAAAATGCATCATACAACAGTCAAGGCACAAAATCTAAGTCACCTGACCAGGTGGAATCAATTCATCCAAGTAGTATAACATCTACTCTAGATCTCTCTATTTTTCTCAACATTCATGGCTTAACCACATCATTGGCCTAATGTATAACCAAGTCAACTATTAAGTAAGGCCTTAATTCACTTTTCTATCTTAATATATACTTGGTTTTCACTGCATGAACAACCCATTGTCTTATTCAAGTCCTGTATTATGATGATCATACTTAATAGCCATAGATATTCTACATACACTGACTCAAAGTTGCCTTTGAGTTATAGTTATAGCTCTCTTTATGCTAATTATTCATTAGTTAAACCAATCCTATTACATCTCCCTGAATCTTTTGGGTTTCATTCCCTGCATGGATCTACAGCTTCTCTTACATTCCCTCCCCCCTCTCATTGGTTTCAGGAGTATTTCTCATTATGGGGACCTTGATCTATTTCTTTTATTCTCAGTGTCCTATGTTTTGTACTGCAAGTCTTCCAAAGAACTTTGATCATCTATTGATTCCTCTGCCATGCTTTCTTCATCTACATAGTTATTCAAACTAGCTTCACTTTGTACTTCCTCATAATTTTGGTTAGCTCCTAACTGGTTTGCATGGGCAACAATATTTTTACCATTCCTTCATATTAAGACCATGTTGTATTCTTTTTGCATTATGAAATTTGCTTTTCTGGTTCATTTTTTTATTTCTTTTGTACTATATGTTTTCATTAATAGAGTAAGATATGGTTAATGGAGCTCTAATCTTAATGCAGACAGACTTTGTAATCTGT